AGTTCTTTTTGTGTAATTCCCACTGAATGCCAGGCCTTTTCCACCTGTACCCATGTGTCAGTCAGGGTAGGTGCAAGGCAGTTAGAGCACATGTGAAACCAACCTACTGACACATTTCTTGTTCATTTTTAAAAAGTCCAAGTTAAGAAGAGGGCATAGCAAAATGTAAAAACCAGGAAAGATATCCCTCTGGCTGAAAAGTAGCCCAAACTGAGGTAAATGTCAATATTCTTACTTAACCTGACACATAAGCTCTTAATAAATGTTGTGATGATTACTGAAATTTCCTTTTCTTTTTTCTTTTGAAATAGAAACCATGTTGTGGATATCAGTGTTGCAGTCAGTACTCCTGCAGGGCTCATTACACCTATCGTGTTTAATGCACATATAAAAGGACTGGAAGCCATTGCTAATGATGTTGTTTCTTTAGCAACCAAAGCACGAGAGGGTAAACTACAGCCTCATGAGTTCCAGGTAAGGTAATATTTATTTCCCTTCTGAATGTTAAGAATTATGTTATATTTAAGGGTGGCGTAATGCTGGGTACCTGGGTGGCTCAGTCGGTTAAGTGTCTTGGGCTCAGGTCATGATCCTGGTGTCCTGGGATCGAGCCCCGCATCGGGCTCCCTGCTCAGCGGGAGTCTGCTTCTCCCTCTCCATCTGCCCCTCCCCACCACTCGTGCTCTCTCTTTCCCTCTCACAAATAAATAAAATCTTTAAAAAAAAAAAGGGTGGCATAATGCTTTTACTGCATTTTTCACCTTTGATTCTGCCTTATATTCTTACACAAGTCCCTGAAAACACAGAAAAGGTGAATATCCTATCAAAATCTGAAAAGACATTTTCCAGCAGTTTGCAAAACTTATGACTTACGTTCATACTTGTAATGGTTATATATTTTCATTAAAGTGTATTCCATTAAGGCCTGCCTTTTTTTCCCCCTTTCAGCTTTTTTGATTTATAAATATCAAATAAGAATTGTATATATTCAGAATATATAGCTTTGATGTTTTGCTGTGTGTACTGTGAGATACATTGTGAGATGATCATAGTTAAGCTAAGTCACATCTGTCACTTCATGTTGTTTTCCTTTCCTTTTCTAATTTTTTTATGGTAGTTCAGAGGCCTTTTTTTTTTTTTTTTAAGATTTTTTATTTATTCATTTGAGACACAGATATACAGAGAGAGAGAGAGAGAGAGAGAAAGCATGAGCAGGGAGAGAGGCAGAGGCCGAGGGAAAAGCAGGCTCCTTGCTGAGCCAGGAGCCCGATGGGGGGCTCGATCCCAGGACCCTAGGATCATGACCCGAGCCAAAGGCAGACACTTAACCATCTGAGCCACCCAGGCGCCCCTCAGAAGCCTTTCTTAAAGATTATCTTAAGGTCTTTCCACAGAACATTTGTCTTTTTTTTCTGGCTTATGTTGACAAGCAATTAACATGATCTATTTTTAATCTCTTTTTCTCTAGGGTGGCACTTTCACAATCTCCAATTTAGGAATGTTTGGAATTAAGAACTTCTCTGCTATTATTAACCCACCTCAAGCATGTATTTTGGCAATTGGTGCTTCAGAGGATAGACTGGTTCCGGCAGATAATGAAAAAGGGTAAGTACAAAATAAAGAAGGAGTTGTAAGTTCATTTTCATTACATAATACCTGTTTGTTTTTTGGTGGTTGTTGTGGTGTGTTTTTGTTTGTTTTTACATAATACCTGTGTTTGAGTCTCAGTTTTATAATTATTGTCATGGCCTATTGGAGCTTCAGGTAGAGTCAGGCGTAAGTGTAGAATGAAGTTTCTCAGGGCAGCAACTCTTCTTTTACTAAATGCAGTTAATCCTATTTGAAAGGGGAAGCCTTATTTACTACAGGTGAGGGGTGAGCATACTTTTCCTTGGAGCCAGGTTGTAAATATTTTAGGCTTTCTGAGTCATGGCCTCTGTTGCAAATACTCTGACATTGTAGTGAGAAAGCAGACATAGGCAATACATAAATGAATTCCAGAAAACCTGCATTTGGCGGGATTTGGCCTGTGGGCTGTAGTTTGCCAGCCCATGCTCCAGATGGCTGTTTGGTCTGTCAATCTAGAGGGTGAGGCAGAGGTGTATAGTACATTAAGAGTAGGTGGAAAATAATATTACCTGGTTGGAGTTGGCGTTTGGGTTGGTTACTGGCTAAAAACTAGTGATTGCTTTCAGAATACCTAATAATGTTTTTATCTTTTTCTAGATTTGATGTGGCTAGCATGATGTCTGTTACACTCAGTTGTGATCATCGGGTTGTGGATGGAGCAGTTGGAGCCCAGTGGCTTGCTGAGTTTAGAAAGTACCTTGAAAAACCTATCACCATGTTGTTATAATTAACCCAAGAATTTCTAGACTCTCCCAGGTCACAATGATTCATTCTTACCAAGATATAAATATGTTATTACACAGGTGGTTCTTTTTATTTTAAAGTTAACCAGTTATTTTTGAGTCTGTCCAGATAAATTATTTGTAATGGGCATCACTGAATTTTTTAAATGCCAATTACACCCACATATTGTACACATTTAATGAACACCAGATTTTGAGCTGTGTATTCCTAGTCAAGGGAACATGTGGCCTGGCCCTTTGGTGATAAGTACTTCCATTGGGAAAAATAGAGGGAGAATTCTGGTTCCCTATTGAAACATATATAAAGGTAATCTGGATGAAACCTTGAGGTTTTGAAATTTAATTGCCTCAAATGTTTTGCTCATATTTGAGGGAAAGAGAAGTCCGTTCTCTTAGAGAAAGGGTTTGAATTGAAGCTTGATTTTGGAATTTAATCCTAATTTAAATTTTTCTGTGACATGATCTTGGTTTATCATGGATGGGAAGGGTAGAGAACTTCAAGGAAAATAAGTGAAATTTTAAAAGTTAACTTTTTCTTAGACTTCTTCAACCAGCTGTCCTTTATTTTTCTATGAATCCTGAAATGGTTGTTTTGCCTCTTGAGATGAAGATATATATAAACCAGCTACTTGGCATAAATGAGAATTTGTGTGGGTATTTATTTAAACAACTTACATACCTAATTTTGAGAGCAGAATTTAAAATTACCTCCAAATAAAAGAATATGTTTATAGAATTTAACAAAAAGTAGAAATTATTCCTCGAAGATTAATTGGTGGTTATTTGCAAATGAACTTAATTATCAGAATCTGTTACTCATATCATATAACTTTGGAAAACTGTATCAAGGAACTGTGGAATAAGTGTACATATGTAAAATATGGTTTCTAGTGAGATGTGTGCCAAAGTCCATTTATCACCAAATCCTGTCTGAAAGGAAGAGGGGGAGATAGACATTGGTAAGCAGTTGGGAATGCTAAAAGATTCGAAGCGAAGTGGTCATTTCTACTTGGATTAAGTAAAAAATGTTCAGTGTGTACAAAGAAAGTGTTCTGTGTTTTTCCACCCGATGTTGTCTCATGTACATTAAGAAAGTCCTAAAATCCTATTGGAAAGAAAAAAAATAGTTTAGGTTGCTTGCTGCCTTATCAGCCTAAATATTTTTTTCCTTTTTGTTACAGTTTGCCTTTCTTAGGGGAGGGGGAGTGGAGAAGGTGATACTTGGGATAATAAAAATGAATTTGGAATATTGTCACAATTCCAGACTTTCTATTAATGTGTTTTAATAAATTATTTGGAATTGTTTATGACTATTTAAAATAAATCTAACCAGTGTTGCTGTGTATATATGTGGAGCAGTCCCCTGAAATTTAGGTCTTTCGGTGTTGAATCTGTTTCTAAATGTTCTTTATTACATGGTGCAGAAGTGACACTGCATATATTCCAGAATATTTTCTCTTGCTGTATTATGAAAACGGTACATTAAATTGATTTTTCAGTAATTAGTAATGTTAGCTTGAATTGAAGATTATGAAGAAGGAACAAGCTTATCGCAAGGGACCATCAGTATGAGCCACATCTGGTTCAGATACATGAAACTTCAAAGATAATTCATTCTTAGCAAATGCTTATGGCTCTGTCTGTTGTTCCCTTGAAAGAATAATAAAAGGTTGTCTTCTAATAAAAATTATTCTGAGTTAAAAATTAACCTGAGGTATAATCTAAATTATAAATCTAAATGGATTCAGTCTATTTCTCTTACCAGAACTGAAAGAAAAAAAGTTAAAAATTTTGGTTGAAATTATTTAAAAATTAAACTGTTTTCAGTGTGTCTTGTCTAATTTTTGACCTGTTGGTAATTATTTTTCACATTAAACTAAAGCCAGAGATAGCTATATACGTGTACACTCTTAATACAAATGCATTTGAAGCGTGTAGAATTAGTAAAATAAAGGACTGAGTTTAGGAGGATATAATCTAACACTTTAAGCTCAAGGAGTTACTGAAGCACCTCATGGTGGAGTGTGCCACACAGCAAGATGAAAGCGTAATCTGGCCGTATTAGATATTTTACACCAATCCCGAGGTTTGTGAGTGAAGTTATGGTTTCCCAAGGCATGGTCTGAAAAAGGAGTTAACTAGCCTGAATGTGCTCCAAGGAGTACTCCTTACCTAGTAATGCACAAACCCTGGAATACATGGGAAAATAATCACCCAAGTTTGTAGGGGCACCTGGGAGGCTCAGATGATTGAGTATCTGACTCTTGGTTTCAGCTCAGGTCATGATCTCCAAGTGGTGAGATTGAGCCCTGCATTGCGGGTGTCTGCTCCTCTCCCTCTGCCTCTCCCCCTGCTCACACACAGACACTCTCTCAAATCTTAAAAAAAATAAATAAAACCAAGCTTGTAGAAAAATCTAGTCTCTAAATCAAGGATAATTAATATCCATCTCACTTTCCAGTTTCAAGGAAAAAAATTTTGGTAAGATTCATATTAAACTACTCCACAGTTATTAATGTTCTTCCTGGGCAAAGTTTGGTATTTTGGGGGAGAGGGAGGAGGAGGAGAAATTTCTATGAATATAAAAATCCATTGAAATAAGTAAAATATTTTGGAAAGTAACAAGGATGTAAATTTAAAATCTAAAAAATGCTAGATCTTGATATGCATTTTATTAATGAGTACACAAACACATAGCTGCTGACAAAAGTAACACCCAAGTGCCAAGAGTGCCAGAGCAGAGATTCAACCAGTTCTATGTGGTTAGGTATGAGAGTTTGTAGGCCAAGCAGTGACGGTGATTTTGTAGAAGAGAAGGTAAGGTGAAAGCATTCCAAGTTTTTTTGAGGGATGAGACTATAATAGGGGTGTTAACTTTAGGACATCATACAGTTCTAGAAAATCTTCAGATGGTAAATTATCCTATTGCTGGGAGAATTCAAATCCAGACCAGGCTTAAGAAAATTATATTTGTTTTTAAGTATCACATACCAATTGCTTCTCTTCTATATACTAGTTTCTAAAGTTAAAAAGCTTTAAAATTAATAAGGACTTTAAAGACATTATGTTGAACTAGAAACTATTACAAGGAAGCTGTACTGTATCTAGGAAAGATGATTAAGGATGCTTAAACATCAAAGTTAATACTTCTGTATTGAACAACCATCTGACAGATTAAGTTGATAAATACATCCTTCTGTCAAAATTATTTTCATAGGAGAAAGGCACTTGTCCCAAAGTCACATCCTTTTTCTTAGGGTTAGATTTATTTTGCATCTTCTGTACAATAACATCTTGTTATTGTTACTGCATCATGGTATCCAGTCCACAGACAAGTCTATATTTGATATTAAAAGGTCTGACGGGTAGCTTGGACTCCTCCCATGAGAACTGTTTTATAGAAGTACAGAAGTTTGCATACTAGTACATTGGCCCTGTAACTTTATAGCTGGAGGAAACTTTCACTGCTTCAGTTCCTCTTGGTAATAGAAAATTTACAGTTTGAGATTTATTCCTGATGCAAAAATTTGCTAGAGACAACCAAGTAAACCAGAATTTCAACCAGTAAACCAAGAATTTTCACAATTTACTTGGAAACATAGAATTTTCCCAAATGACAATTTGTTACTTTAAGACCATTAGAAATAGCTTCAAAACAAGTATATCACGGCAATACCGTTTTTAATAGTTTCTGCTTCTAGCCAAGTTTGAGGAGAAAGTTAAAAAAGATAAACATTAAGTTGATGAGAAAATCTCATTCCATCAAAAAGAACTCTTAGAAAATACTAGTGTTTAAGGTAAACCACTACCTCTTCACCCATAATGAAGGTCCTATCATTCACATGCCTTTATCACTGAAAACCCAAAGCAGATGATGCTCTTGACTTACACCAATGGCATTGTGACGATTAAGGTAGCTTTCTCTTTGATAAATTTGGCTGTAGTCATTTCAGTATCCACAGATTCCGGAAGATTCAGATGTAATCTGTACTTCTCAGAGACCTCAATCAATAAATCATCCTAAGAATAACAAATCAAAAGTATTTTAAAATATGAAAATAGTAACTCCTGGTTAAAATATGTTACTGGATTATTCACAGTTACTCCTTTCCCGTAAGAGGAGGATCTCACTGCCATGTGACTTGTAATGAGCTGTACAGTTGCTACTGTGACTCCCTGAGGTTTTTTGTTACTGCAGCTCAGTACGTCAAAAGTTAACTGATACAGTGCCATAAATTGGGTGTTGCTATCCTAGATTATGTGGCATTGACTTTGTGGCTGACCAGCAAACAGCGAGGAAAATGTATTGGCAATAGGAAAAATGGTGATCCATGTTTTGTAGTGATAAAGCCCTTAGTAAAACCAGCACAGTAATTTGAAAGACAACTAACTGCACCTCGTTAATGTGTGGCTTTCAGGTAAAGTGTGAAAACAGAATGTTGGTAACATGCATTGTTTCTATTGGCTACATTTAATAAGCTACTACAAAAAGGAGCTTCGAAAAGAATTTCCTAGTTTGCAAGTAGGATTAAAAGACTATACAAAGCCCCAAAATTCTAAGACTTCAGGACTGAGAAATGGAACTAATTTTTATTTTAAACCAGTAAAAAATAAAATTGAGAATTTATTTCTTAGCAACAAAGACTAAGACAGCCTAGAAGATTGAATCACACGTCATTATACTCTTTGTTAAAACCTCTAACTGGATTAAGGTGGAGCTCAGTTAATCCCTACATTTGGCTCAAACGACAGCAATTAAGTAAAAAAAGGCCATTGAAAAAGGGACATGCCTAATAAAGAATCATGGGTGTGGCACTGATTCGAATCAAAGAAGTAAAATGCTACCAGTCTAGACTAAAACATTGGATCCCCAACATTCCAAAAGCATGTAACAGGGTGAGTAAACTGCTCAGCATGTAAGGATGGCCTATTCTCCAATGTTCTTTTCCGATGTGGCCAGTGTGGGTAAGAAAAAGGTAAACACCGGGGCGCCTGGGTGGCTCAGTTGTTAAGCGTCTGCCTTCGGCTCAGGTCATGCCAGGGTCCTGGGATGGAGCACCGCATCGGGCTCCCTGCTCCGCGGGAAGCCTGCTTCTCCCTCTCCCACTCCCCCTGCTTGTGTTCCCTCTCTCACTGTCTCTCTCTCTGTCAAATAAATAAAATCTTAAAAAAAAAAAAAAAGGTAAACACCACCCAAAGAATGAAGCTGAAAGTCATGGAAAACAATGGAACTAGGGGGCTAGGTAATCAAGGAATCTTGTAATGAGACCTAACCAAGAACAGCCTCTACTTACAGGAAAGGGACCCTCACGATATCTGCCTTCCAGGATACCAGAATTGCTGTGCACCAATAGCTGCTGTGTGCCTCATATTTTCCCCCTTTCCAAACTGAGACTCTTAATTACCGTTATCCTCTCTCCATTGCACATTGTACGGTGCATGTGGCTATGGCAGTAGATTACTTGTCTTTGTAGTTCATAGGTCTGTGGTTCAAGAGGAAAATGCAGATTATAATGGCAAAATCCTGTATTTTAGAGTCTGATACTGGGACTGGAAATGCCTTTCTTGGGGAAAGAAGCAAATGTTTGTGTCCTTGAGAGTTGGACTGTGATAGATTGTAGGACTTTGCCAATGTTTTGCTCTTCTTTTGTATAATAAGGATTATACATCCTTGCCATTTGAATTCCTGTGACTACCTGTGAGAATATTCTTCCCAGCCCCGTTGATGTAGGATTTGGCCTGGTGCCTTAACTTTGGCTAATAGAATGTGAGTAAAAGTGATATATACTATCTCTGAGAGAAAGTTTTAGGATCTATTGCATGGCTTGGCCATTTCTATTTTCCCTCTTTCATGAGAATGGCATATCTCACCTGTATCTTGAAATATGCAAGACCCCTGGAACACAGCAGGCCCACCTGACATACAACCTGAGCAAATTGCTACAAACCACCGAGACTGTGGAGTTTGTTACTACAGCATAATACGGTAAATGTTGACTGATACAAATTTATAGTATTACCTGTTCAACTTACCTCAGAAACACTAAGATCACAGAGAGATACTGAATTAATACCAGGTAATTCAACTTTTATTTCAATTTCCAGAGGTTTCTCATTCTGGTCAGCCACAATTTTTAATTCATAGGCTGGTTCCTTCATCTCTACCTGGATCTCTGTACTGGAAATCTCCTCAATCAGACACCGTGTTTTACTTGAAACTTCACCTTTTGGCAATAAAAGCTGAAAGTGATCTGAATTGCTCACAGTCCTACTTATCTGTTCAGGCGTTAGTTCTTATGGGAAAAAAAGGGGGGGGAGATGAAATCACAAAGTTAATCAACAACATAAAATACTATCAGTCTATGAACTGTAACATTTGTGGCATTAGCGAAAATGGCAGAGAAGCTGAAGCTAATTTAGTTTGGGAATCTAAAAAGAATCTTAAACCTGGGGCACCTGGGTGGCTCAGTCAGGTTAAGCGTCTGACTCTTGATTTCAGTTCAGGTCATGACCCCAGGATCGTGAGATCAAGCCCAGAGTTGGGCTCCGTGCTCAGGGGGGAGTCTGCTTGAGATTCTCTCTCTTTCTCTGCATCCCCCTACTTCCCCCCCCCACACTCTCTCTCTCTTTCAAATAAATAAATAAAATCTTTTTTTAAAAAATAAATAAAATCTTAAAAAAAAGAATCTTAAACCAAAGAACTTGGTTAAAAAGTTTGCAGGGTTTAAAAATCTTTAAGGACATGTTAATATTTCTAATATCTAATCTTTATATTTTTCTATCTTAAGTTTCTCATCTTTTAAAACCAAGATTTTTGGTTTGCAAAATGTACACAGGATGCAAAACAATTTTAAATCAGTTAAATTTTCCATTTACAGTCATTAACTTACCCTTTCTCATTTTCTCTCTTAAATCTGTGGGGTCAGCTTGCATTCCCATCAGATTTTGTTTCATCCTTTGAATGCTTCCTTTTATTCTAAATTTAGTGATACTGTAAGAGTATGAGAGAGTGAACTGGAATTGTTCCTCAATGCATTTCATGGTCATCCTTATTAATTGATCTTTTTTCACTTGGTCCTTTTCTGCTGCCTGGAGAACATCAGGATTGTAGGCAACATCGATGACTGTATAAACATCTGTGTGTGTAATTCAGAGGATGTGAAATGAAGACAACTTGTTTCACTGATGATACTGTCAGGTAATATATTAAGTCATAATCCTGGATAAAGCTAAAAAGCAAAATTCTATTCCTGTATTTTTCAGAGGTAATCACAATGGTGCCAAATATACAAATTTCCAATTAGGGCATTTCTTGGCATTTTATATGGGTTACTATTAGAAAAATTGAATAGCATTCAATTTATATAAATAAAGGTATGCTTATTAGTTATTAACTACATTATAACCAAATAAAATATTTTACTTGTAATGCCTTTTACCAAGTAAAATCTGGTCCATGCTTATTCCCAATAAAGTTTTTAAAATATGCTTTCTCTCCCTTAATTCTATGTACCTGATGTCTCAGACATATCTTCTGGTCTGCCAACACTTAGAGGTACTGGATGAGTGGTTGACTGGGGAGCTGGGATCCTTTTCCACTGACACAGATTAATAAAAAGTACTTTTTCCTTTGGTTTCTAAAAAACAAATAATTTTGCATATCTCAAAATCTAGTGGTTTTTTTTTATTTAAAAATAATATCATAAAGGTAACTCATCACAGAATTTGAAGAGTGAGAATTTTAGTCACCAAGTAAGCCATTCCGTGCATTTAAACTGTGTTTGAAAATTGTACTGTTACCTCATTTCCCCCAAGCTACTGACTTTTCAAGATCCAGTTGTTGCTCCCAGAGGAACTGGGAGGAAGGAGGCGGCACCAATCTAAGCAGCTATTCTGGGTGAATATGACCCTATTTCACCACTTCCTTACCTCCCAGCCAAGTAAGTTCTCTTTATTTGCAAAAACGTCCAATTCTACGAGTCTCTGTTAAATCATTACATTACTTTTTTTTATTCTAGTAGAAAATGACTTTGAGATCTCCAAAATATATCATATGTGAATTTCTCATTCTTACTCCTTCAACATAATCTTCCACTCTATGTTTCATTCTCCCTTTAGAGTGGCGGTTCCCCTCAAGTTTTCTTAAAGTAGCAATAGCTAAAGGTAAGTGATTCTCTGATTATTCCAGGATTCTTTCGCTCAAGACCTCCCATCCCTGGGTACCAACACTACATACCAGGATCCTGGTTTGTAGACAGAGCTGTGGTTCTGGGGTGGCACAGAGCTGTTTCCCTTCTTTCAGCTGCTGTTGAATGAACTTCTCGTAGCTCTCAGGATTAGTTTCAGCCAGATCATCTAGGAGGTTCCAGAACTGAGTAACCTGGGTGAGCAGACCCTTTGAGGACGACTCCATGATTGAGGTAAACAGGCCTCTTGAGTCTGTGGAAAGATAGGACTTCAGGGGGAAAAAGTCTGTGTAACTAATGGTTCATTTCTTCTTTTGGAGGAGGAGGAACAAACAGATCAGGAATTGCTTTGATGAAGTTAGCACCTGTGTCTAAAAGACTGCGGCTCAGCACCACTTTTCTTTACCTTATTCTCTAATTATCTAGTCCCCCTCAGACAAGTCCTCACCTCTGCCTAGACTCTCACCAGCACTGAGGGTAGAGTAGTCAGTTAGTCTGGATTACCCGGTGACCGATTCTCTTGTTCCGATACCTGGGTATTGGCAGACGGGTGCCTATCCAGTCCTGAAACTGCCAGAGAGCTACAGGAGACTTCCTCACAGCTTAGTAGTTAAAAGCAAGGATTCTGGGGCGCTTGGGTGGCTCAGTTGGTTAAGCGACTGCTTTCGGCTCAGGTCATGATCCTGGAGTCCCGGGATCGAGTCCCACATCGGGCTCCCTGCTCGGCGGGGAGTCTGCTTCTCCCTCTGACCCTCCTCCCTCTCATGCTCTCTGTATCTCATTCTCTCTGTCTCAAATAAATAAATAAAATCTTTAAAAAAAAAAAAAAAAAAAAAAGCAAGGATTCTGGAGCCAGAATGCCTAGATCCCAATCTCAGCTTTATCACGTACTAGGTGTGGTACCTTGAGCAATGAAGTTATGTATCAGTCTATTCTCAAAGTGAAGACGATAATACCTATCTCGTAGGGTTATTGTGAGAATTAAGTATGCTCATATAGAGAGGCTAGGACACTTCGTAAACACTATGAGAGTATTGATACCACCTGTGTCTAGAGATAACCTCCCTCGCTCTCCTCTCCCACTGGAGAGGCGTCCCACAGCAGCCACAGAATGAGGAAAAGAGGTTTGGGTTCCCCGAATACTATATTAGGGTTAAACTAAACGGGAAGCTTAACTAAAGGACAATCTTCCCAGAGATCGGCGAACCCACCACCTCTTCTCTCCTCCTTGACGAACCGCGACGCCTGTTACTAGGGTAACCGGACCGGGTACAACATCTAATTGGGTCCGGAAAGCTCCAGGAAGAAAGGATTTTTACATCCAGTTCCGGAGTCTCCCCCCTTCTGGTGTCGGGCTTGCTTTTCAGCCGAGGCCGACCCGCTTCTTTTCCAGGAAGGCGCCCGCCTCCCCTCCGCACCTTTCGATATCTAGAGGATGCTGGAAACCCTCCCCGTGGGAGTCTCTGGGTCTCCCGTGGGTGGGAAGAGTTTCTCCGGAGCACGACTTCCGGCCTGAAAGGGAAGCCCGCTCCCTTGTCGCCCAGACTGATTCCTCCCCCCAAATCCCCGCCACGCGAGGCTGCGGCGCACGGTATGGGTGTATTTGTGTGTGTTTGTATGGGGAGGGCGTTTGGAGGGAAGGTTACCGGGAGCTCCATGGCCACTGGGGGGCAGGGATCCCGGTGACAGAGACGGGGGTATTTTCTCTGTCTTCCACTTGGAAGCCTCAACCCCCTCCCCCTCTTCGGGCACTCTGGGTGTTTCTTGGGGCCCATTCGAGGGTTGTACCCGTCCAGAGCGTCCCCATCCTTTCGGGAGAGCGAAGCCCAGTCCTCGGGTCCGTCCCAGAGGAGCGTGAGCGGGGCATGCCCCCATGCCCGTCAAGCCGGCTGTCCGGATTCCGCGCCGGCGCAGCCTCCGGCCTCGGCCCGGAAAGAGATCTTCCTGTCGGTGTGGGCTGGGGGAAAGGCAGCCGTGGCCTGGGCCACGGGTGAGGGCAGAATAACCGGTGGGAAGGCTGCATTTTCACGAAGGACTCGGGTGAAGCTGCAGAGCTGCCTTTGAGCCCTGACTCCTTGGCTTCCTGGGTCGGAGGAGATCTTGTAATGGAGTGGTTCTTCGTCTCACACTAGCAAGATGCCTGATTTCCTCAGGATCGAGGGGTGAGTGAGCGGTGGGGTGGTTGCACAAAACCGCTGCTAGCTACACACTGAATATCCTTGTCATCTGTTTTTTGGAGGCTTCTGTACAAAATAGAAAGTAAAATTCCTCTGAATGGAGAAATTTAGGGCGTGCCTGCATTTGATGTCAAATGTTGACATTTGTGGTCCCTGACATTGTCAGATCTAGGTATTTGCTTCATCACAAGCTAATTTTGAGATTGGAAAGTTGATTTCTAATCTGGATCTTGTTTACATTGGGCTTTCTGGCCTGGGGCAAGTTATGCTTAAGGGAATTTCATCTGCAAAATAGGAATGAAGATGCTTGCCTCATATAAAACATGGGGTTGTTTTGAGGATTAAATAAAATGGTGCTCTTGAAGGCACTTAATTCTGTGCAGTTTGAAAGAACTTGGATGTCCACTATCTCACTGTACATTCATCTGCACATTATTAGTGTGGTCAGGCATTTTCTCCTTTTAATGGTGAAGGGAAAACTACCCCTCAGGACCTCTGACTTCTTGTTCAGTAATCTTTCCTTTCTTTACCTCATGCTTCTTTATGACACTGTAATAAAAGATAAGATAATAAAGGAAATTATTGTTTTTAAATGTTATTTATTGACTCATTTCAGATTGAAGAATGTCCCGTGTTCCATTGGGGAAAGTCCTCCTGAGGAATGTCATCCGGCACACAGATGCTCACAATAAGGTGAGAGGTACAATCTAGTTTTTCCTCAACATTTATTGGAGGCATATAGTGTGCCATGCATGATTTTGGTAGTTTGGAGATACAAAGATGAATAAAATAGATAATTACAATCAATTTGATAAGTACTGTAGTAGAGACATATACAAGGTGCTTCAGTGCACTGAGGAAGGAACAGTGAAATCTGCCTTGGGAAATTAGGAAAGGCTTCACAGAATGCGTGGTATTTGAGCTGCTATATTTGAACTAGTTTTTGGTGAACAGGTTCAAATTTACCAGGTGTAAAAGATCATTCCAGACAGAACATCATGTACTCATATGGCAACAAAGAAGAGCATGAAGCACTTGGGGTGTGGCAAGAAAGTGTGTGCATCTGGAAAGTAGGGAATGTTGTGGGGAGTTGGGTAGTGACAGAAGATGAGGCTCAAGTGGTAAATTAGAATTGGATTGTGATACTTGGAGATTAGACTTTTTCCTCTGAACAGTAAAGAAGCTATCAAATGTTTTTAAGCAGGGTGTGACAAGACTGTATTTGTATTTTAGAAAGATGATTTGTTAGCTGGGTAGGGGATGATAGACCAGATGGAATGAAACAGTAGAAACACCAGTTAGGCAATTGCAGTGCTCCAAGTGAGAGACGATGAGGAGTTCACATGAAAACAGTGACAGTAGGGATGAAGATGAGGAATTTAGGAGATAGAATCCAAAGGATTTGGTGACTAATTTAAACATAAAGGGTTATCATTTGATCATTGAAGCATAGTTGCAAAATTAAAAGGGGATAAATGAGTCTATGCAGGGTTAAAAAGTTCTCCTGTTGCTGCAGAATTCTACATATTTGAGATTCACTGGGTCAGATTATTTAGAGAATCCTGAATTTGTTTCCCAGGTTCCTGATTATGACCCAGTCTGTAATACAAAATTGGTACAGAGTGTATTGTCAGTTACTTTTCTGTGATATAAAATATTGTTTTTAGTAATTATATTTCTTTTCTTTTAAAAAATCTAGATTCAGGAGGAATCAGATATGTGGAAAATAAGAGAACTGGAGAAACAGATGGAAGATGCTTACCGGGGGACCAAAAGGAAAATGTTACCCAGTAGTTCAAGGTGAAGTTGGAGCTCTAAGATCCAGAATAACTCAGATCTTGTTCAGAACCATCAACTTTCATTTAAAAGCATTTTAGTATGCTAAAGATAGATGAGTTCAGTTCTGTGAATCTTTAAGCCTTCCTTCCTTCATGAATCTAGACCCAAGCATAAAGGTAATGGCTATGATGCATATGGCTTAACACTTAGTATTTATTTGCAATGGGGAATTTAAAAATTCTACCTTGAACAACTTTAAAAGTTAAAGATTCTGTGTATTCTGACCTTGTCTGGTGGCTTTTAAGATTTTCTGTTGCTATCTTATGGTCACTTAGCTATCATTTATTCTTGTCCCCTTTTATTAGTCTTTGATTCTCCCTCAGCCTTTTCTTTACCCCATCTACTTCCTGTGTTCACCAAGTCACACAACTTTCACATTACCTTTTTAATAATTTCAGTGTGAATATGCAGGATTATGCAGGCTTAGTTGTCTTGTTTGTGGAGGTATAGGAATGTCTGAGTATTGAGAACATTTCTTGGGCTTCATATGCCTGTTAGTGTATAGCTGTATGTGTGAAAAATGACTGTAGTAATAATGCCGATGTCTTTTTTTTTAAATTTTATTTTATGTGTTATGTTAGTCACCATACATTACATCATTAGTTTTTTTTTGTTTAGTTTTTTCTGTTCTGCTTTTTTGTTGTTGTTGTTCTTTTTTCCCTCCAGCTTTATTGAGATATAATTGACATATAACATGTAGGTATACAATATGATGATGACTTGATACATACATACTGCAGAATGATTATTACAGTAAGGTTAGCTAACACATCACCTCACACAATTACCTTGTGTGTGTGTGTTGGGGGGGTTGTGTGTGGTGATAACATTTAAGATTTATTCTCTTAGCAACTTTTAAATATATATTACGGTGGTGTTAACTATAATCATCTTTGCTGTACATTAGATCCCCAGAATTTATTCATCTTGTAACTGGAAGTTTGTACCCTTTGACCAGCATATCTCCAGCCCCTGGCAACCACCATCATACTCTCTATTTTTATGAGTTTGGATTTTTAGATTCCACTGTAGTGTTCCATGATTCATTGTTTGCATATAACACCCAGTGCTCCATTCAATACATGCCCTTAATACCCATCACCGAGCTAACCCATCCCCCCATCCCCATATAATGCCGATTTCTAAAGTCACCCAGGGAAACAGTTAATAGTGAGATATTAGAGAGTGAGTGTGCCTGTGTAGTACTCAGCCTTTGGAGTGTGACTGACTGTATGTGTGAAGTGCTTTAGACAAGGAAGTATTCAGGGTATCCAAGGTAAAGAAGGCAGAGTCTCAATATAAAAATAAGTATCTTTGCAGTCTGTTTTCTTGCTGAAGATGGTCCTTTGAGAATTTAGAAGTAAAGTTAGTACAGATGATAAATTGTCTTCTATTGGTTGTTCAATTCCAAGCAGCATTTCCAGAAACAAAATGTTGTTTTCATTTTTATTATTTATTTATTTATTTTTAAAGATTTTATTTATTATTATTTTTTAATTTTTTTTAAAAGCCCCTTATTTATTTATTTGACAGAGAGAGAGAGACAGCGAGAGAGGGAACACAAGCAGGGGGAGTGGGAGAGGGAGAAGCAGGCTTCCTACTGAGCAAGGAGCCCGATGTGGGACTCGATCCCAGGACCCTGGGACCATGACCTGAGCCGAAGGCAGACGCTTAACAACTGAGCCACCCAGGCGTCCCCAAAATGTTGTTTTTAGAGTGAATTATTGATACCTGTCATGGTCTAATAAATCTTTAAAACCATAATCCCTAAAGAGATGCTGATTGTCTCACTCCCTGTAGCTAGAATGGTGCCTAGCATATAGGAGGCCCTTAAACATTTTTGATAGTTGATTAGCTTGCTTAGTGACTTGTTAGTGGACCTTGTAAGCACAGGCTGTATCTGTGGTTCTCAACTTTTTTTCTAACCCAGCCTACTCATGGGTTAGGCCTTGCTCCTACTATTACTATGACCTCACTATAGCAAGTTGCTGGTTTTTTGGGAAGGGAATATATTTCTAGGGTAGTTTGAAATGTTCCCAGCTGTGATTATGCTCTACTTCCCTCTTTGCATGTCCTCCTACTTGAGAATCAATGAGTGAGCTATAGCATGCCACAGTCCATAAGTCATTTTGTCTGTATTCTGCAATAGGATGGGTAGTAATGGTCAGATTTTCACTGGACAACTGTACAGACTTATGGAGAGGAACAGATCATGTCTTTTTACATTGGTTTTTGTTTTTTTTTTAGCACTAAATCGGTGGTTTTGTTTTCCTCTTAGCTTGTTCAATGGGTTTTGTGCATGCCATTCGATAAAGGAACCTCACAGATTGCTTCTAAATGTAAAAGTTCTTCTGTTTTTCCTTATAGCCGGATGCGTAGTGATGGTTTTGATGAAGAAAGTCAAAGAGACTATTGGAGGCCAAAGAATGAAATTTCTGGGGCACTGGAAGATGATTTTCTTAAGGCTAAATCCTGGAATAAGAAGTTATATGATTATGAAGCTAATATGCCAGACAGGTTTGTGAAAAAATTCTTGAGACCATTAATAATATTTGGCCTGAGAATGTGCACTTTTATTTTTTATTTATTTTTATATATTTTTTTAAGATTTTATTTATTTGAGAGAGAGAGAGAGAGAGAGCATGAGAGGGAGAAGGGTCAGAGGGAGAAGCAGACTCCCTGCTGAGCAGGGGAGCCTGACATGGGACTCGATCCTGGGACTCCAGGATCATGACCTGAGCTGAAGGCAGTTGCTTAACCAACTGAGCCAACCAGGCACCCGAGAATGTGTACTTTTAAAAATTAATTCTCTCTACAAAAACTTGCACACAAATGTTCATAGCATAATTATCGTAATGGCCAAAAAGTAGAAACCCAAATGTCTATCAACTGATGAATGGATAAACAAAATGTGGTACAGTAGCCCCCCCCATCGAAGCCCCCCCAGTGGTTGCCTAAATCTGTGAATAGTACTGAACCCTATATATACTGTTTTTTTTCTGTACATAGATACATACATACCTATGATAAAGTTTAATTTCTAAATTGGGGACAGTAAGAGCGTAACAATAACTAAAAATAGAACAATTATAACAATATACTGTAATAAAATTTATGTGAATGTCATCTTTCATTTTATTTGTACTGTACTCCTGTGAGAATGTGGGATGATAGAATGCCTATGAGATGAGATGAAGTGAGGGGAATGATGTAGGCATTTTGATGTAGCATTAGGCTACTCCTGACCTCTTGACAGTATGACTGAAGGAGGGTGATCTGCTTCCAGAAAGCAGAACTGCAGATAAGGGGGGACTAATGGAATGTTATTTGATGATAAAAGGGATAAAGTACTGATAAGTGCTACAACATGGATGAGCCTTAGAAACAGGTGAAAAAAGCCAGACACAAAGGGCCACTTATTATGATTCTATTTATATGGTATGTCCAGAATAGGCAAATCCATAGAGACAGAAATTAGATTGGTGGTTGCCATGGGCTACAGGAGAGGGAGGAATGGAGAGTGACTGCTAGGGGATGGAGTTCCTTTTTGGGTGATGAAAATGTTCTGAAATTAGATAGTGGTGATGGTTGCACAGCTCTGAATATACTAAAAGCCACTGAATTGTACACTTTAAGAGGGTGAATTTCATGTTATAGGAATTATACCTCAATAAAATTGCTTGGCTCAGTTGGTTAAGCGACTGCCTTCAGCTCAGGTCATGATCCTGGAGTCCTGGGATCGAGTCCTGCATCGGGCTCCCTGCTCAGTGGGGAGTCTCCTTCTCCCTATGACCTTCCCCCATCTCGTGCTCTCTCTCATTCTCTCTCTCTCTCAAATAAATAAATAAGTAAAATAAAATTGCTATGTTAAAAAAAAAAATTGTCCCATTGCTGACAGCATTGTTACAAGTTGTTTTTGGAGAAGTACTTCACAGCTAAAGAGCAGAATAGAAGAGTTCCTTATCTTAAGAATGGCAAGTTCTCAAAAAAAAAAAAATGGCAAGTTCTCTTACAAATGGACAAAAGAATCCTTTGTGTCTGAAATAACATGCAATACAGAAAATGTAGCCAACTAAGTTACTGAGCTTGAAGGTGGGGTTGGCTCTATCATATCTTTCTTTGTTCTGTGTGCATGTCTGTGTCTTGCATGCACTAAGTCTAATTTTTTTTAATTTTCAAAAATGTATGCATTGCTTTAATAATAATGTAATAAAATATTTCATCTTACAGATGGGGTCACAGTGGTTATAAAGAGTTATACCCTGAAGAATTTGAAACAGACAGGTAAGGCAAATAGGCCTACTGAAAAAAAAACTAAAAACTGTAAGATTAATTCCAAGTCTGAACTATAAATTGGGTTCCTAATTTTACAAAGGAGATAACGTTTGCCATTAAAAATGTAACTAGAGGGGCGCCTGGGTGGCTCAGTCGTTAAGTGTCTGCCTTCGGCTCAGGTCATGATCCCAGGGTCCTGGGATCGAGCCCTGCATTGAGCTCCCTGCTCGGCAGGAAGCCTGCTTCTCCCTTTCCTGCTCCCCCTGCTTGTGTTCCCTCTCTCGCTGTGTCTCTGTCAAATAAATAAATTAAAAAAATCTTAAAAAAAAAAAATGTAACTAGAAAAATAATAGGCAATTTAGTTGGGAGATAATTGGTATTTTGCCTTTTCCTGATTGATGTTCTGCATATATATATAGCATTTAGGTTTTTATACATAGTATTCCATACAGTAACTCAGTTTGGCAGATTAGAATTTTTATCTTCATTTTAAGAAAACAAAACGAGGAAACAAAACTCTGAGAGTCATAAAGTCTCATAGTAACCCTATGTCAAAGCTCCTGAAATTCAAATGTTAACCCCAACTTTTTTTTTTTTTAAGATTTTATTTATTAGAGAGAGAGAGAGAGAGCAAGAGCAGGGGGAGGGGCAGAGGTAGAAGCCGAATTCCCGCTGAGCGGGAGGGAGCCTGATATGTGGCTCCATCCCAGGACCCTGAGATCATGACCTGAGCTGAAGACAGACGCTTAACCAACTGAGCCACTCAGGTGCTTCTAACCCCAACTTTCTATCTAGAATGCAGAATACTAAAATATAAATACACTTTTTATTTTCTATAGTAAAGCAGTTTCTCTTTTTTATTAGTAGTGATCAGCAAGATATTACCAATGGGAAAAAAACATCTCCCCAAGTAAAATCATCTACCCATGAGTCTCACAAACACAAGAAGTCAAAGAAATCTCACAAAAAAAAGCAGAAAAAAAAGTCGCACAAAAAACAGAAGAAAAGCAAAAAAGAAGCCACGGATATAACAGCAGATTCCTCAAGCGAGTTCTCAGAAGAAACCGGGGCTTCTAGTACCAGGAAAAGGAAACAGTCACATAAGCGCAAGAAAAAATCCAGGAAAAAGTCTCTCAAAAAATCTGCTTTATTCTTGGATGCAGAAAGTGACACTTCCCAGTCAGATGATTCCGCATCCAGCAGTTCTGAGGAAGGTGAGGAAAGAGACACTAAGAAAACCAAAAGGAAAAAGACAGATAAAAAAGTCCATATCCCTATAGTTAACAATGAAATACAGGAGAGGACGAACAAACGCACAAATTGGAAAGTGGCTACAGATGAAAGGTCTGCAGAGAGTTCAGAGGATGACTAAATGAGGAGATATTCTCCATTTCCCATCTGACTGGTTACTTACAGCTCTTCCACCTTGGGGTTTTGCCAGTGACTCTGTTGCCTGGCACAGGGGCCCTGAGGTCAGAGCTGTCCTGTGCCATCTATCTACATTCTGACAGACTTCTTGTCTTCTGTTTTGGCCTGTTAAACTTGATCCTCTTATTGTTAATAGGGAATCTGGTATTTTGTTATGAAGTTTTCTTGAAGAGATTATTTTTTGCAATTAATCACATTTAGGGTAGAGTGCAAATGCAACAAATTGAAGGACCCAGAAAGCTGAATCCCAGTAACAACCTGGGTACACCAAATGGGATGTAGAATTTGGGGAAAGCAAGGGCTGGGATCAAGAGGTGGATTGGAACTGGTGCTGTGTACAATGTTGGAACATCGTATTGCTCTGTTTATATAGCAGGTGCCACAACTTTGTCTTCAGCCTTGGTGCTTTGATCTTTCCGTATTTAGGCCTCATAGATGTGGTCCAGTTTATTTAATGAGAAAATGAGTAAAGAGCAAGACATTTTTCCTTCATGATAACATCCATTAGACAGCTGTTATTATGAGACTAGGGTTTTCTGTCAAATTTCCCTGCTGCACAGGGTCTGTGGCTACACTAAGTATACCCCTAAACATGGTAATTGGTTTAGTAAATGGTTTTCTACTTCCTGTATATGGCCTAAATGGACTTGTGTTCGAAGTTATTTCTTCAGTTGTTTTGGTTAAGTCCTCAACCAAATGGGATAAAATTAGGAATTAGTCATGCTGTCTGATGGTGCTCTGAACAGCATTCAGGGTAGCAGCTGCCATTTAAATATTATCTTCCTTGTTCATTTCTAAGTCTATTAATGAAATTTAGATTTTCCCTGAAACTAGGTTGAACCAGTTCCAAAATGCAACAGGCTTCTCAGGGACTCACCCACTTCTTCCCAGTTTGCCTTCTGATTAAAGCACCAAGCAGAAACCATATTATTTCCCTTTCCTATATACTGTAATCCCGACTGTTAATTCTTAAGAAACCAAAATATCACTGAAAAAAGGCTGGCGGAACACAAGTGAATTTTTTCATTATGACAGAATACCAAGTGACATATCATTGTTTTTTCTGGTTGTCACTTCATGGTCTTGGTAGAAAGCTTGAAAACTCAGACTTTTGTTCTTGGTTCTGCCACTAATTAGTTATGAGGTCCGGAAAAGGTGAGTTAACCTCCCTGGCCTTACTTTCCCCGTGTATAATACAGAAATACTTCATGGTAGCATGACAGTGTAAGACACCAGCAATAGAATATAACTGTAACAACATTCCATGAGGTGGTAATATTTTACAGTTCTAACTACTAAATTTATTCTCTTTACAGAACAGATGTCTAATAAAATGTTTAGTCATAAAATACATGGTTGGCTAGAGGTTCCCTATCCCTTGATTATAAGCAGGTGCTACCTTTGGGGATATTTACTTGAAATATTAATACTTTGGTACTCAATTGTCAATGTTCCATGGCGTATATTTTTACCTTTGGGATTAGTAGGGGCCCAAGGTGGGGCAAACAGTTTGTAATTACTACCTCTTAACCTAAAGACAAATTGTTTTGTTCTTGGAATAAGTGAAATCTTTGTTGGAAGGAGTTTTCAGCACGTATTTTTTTTAGCATTGTTTCTGTGCTATAAAAGTACTGATTCTAGCACAGACTCAGGAAGATGGGCCAGTGGAACAGGCATCTTCAGGAAGTTGGTTCTGCTTCAGTCTTGACCTTCCCTTCCTCCCATACTAGCAGGCCTATTTCTTTCCCAAAAATACACATCCTGCCTGTTTTGTTTTTGCCATGTTTACTTTTTCTTGGTCATATATAAGCAATAAAGCTGTTTTCTGTTCTTCACCTTTCTCAACCCCAATTTCTCGTCTATACCTTAGGCTAAGTCTTTGATGGTTCTTCTAGCCCCCTTAAATATGGCTGAGGATGGCCTTTCAAAACCTAAGATCTCTCATTTGCACTACTGGTCTTGGAACGTACTTCTAGTGTTCCTGCCAATCAGAGATCTCTATATTAAATCCTAAAATGGGATTAAGGAAAAAAAAGAAATTTCGAGTTGGAGAATTCAGATTTATTGAATAACTATTGTGATAAAACATGGAATTTCTGAATTCCAAATAAATAAATTTCACTTTTTGAACATTTGATCTGTTACTTCTTAGCACCAATAGGCTTGGTAACAGCCTCAAGTTCACCTGACAAAAGGCTGACAACTTTCCCCCACTGGCCCTTCAATCTGCTTAACAAGTCCTTTGGTTCTGTCATTCTCCCAGGGGATGGCCTACTGCCCTCCTTTCTGTACAATCTGGGCAAACCGACTGGTGATGGCAAGAGTAGTGTCAATGAAGCGGTCCACGCAGCTAGAGAGACAATTTTCAGTGCGAGAGTCTAGGCGATTCCCTGGCTTCTCCACACATTTATCCCAGCACAGCTCCATGAAGTGATGCACCTAAGAGGAAAGAAAATTAGTAATTGCCTGCTGTCTGCATATAGGTCTAACTGCCAACTTTATTTCCTTCCTGTTTTTCTCCTTTTCTGTCACTTGACTAAACCATTCTTTCAATCAACAAACCATGGGCTCTCTTCCCTCACTTCCTAATTTGTCATCAGTATGGCCCAGATCCTTGTTCCTACATTGCAATAATCCTTTATCCTTTCCGTTTCTGTTTTTCTCCTCTTTAGTAATTACAAATAACTTTCCATCAAGTCACCCCTGTACTTAATGCACAATTCCTCTGTTAGCCACTCAGGCCAGCCCATTATTTAACCACCAACCTGTTAAGCTTCAATGAAGTACACACACAGCATACTCAATGTGACTTAATATTCCCGGAACGCCCTACCTAAAGATTTGTCCCATTCTTCAAAACAGTTCACATTTTTAACTCCTTGAAGGCCACCGTCTATTTTTTCCGATTGTGTTAAGTCCTTAATCAGACTGTAAATTTTCAGGCATGGTTAGTAGTATTCCCAAGTTGCACCAGTGTAAGCTGGGAAGGTATGGTACCAATTAATTTCCCCCCAAACCACTGCTCTCCTGTCATTCCAAACCTATCCCTTACAGACTAGTTCCTAAGTTCTAAACCTTTTTGGGTTCATGGACACATGGGTGAATCCAATGAAGGTTATGGATCCACTCTCCACAAAAATGCACATCAGGTACAGAAAATGTGTTTTTGCTATTTAATCCGTCGCGAACACCTTCCCCCCGCAAGCCCCCCACGGGGGGTAACCATTTACTGAGGGCTTCCTAGACTGGGTACTCAGCAGTCAGTCAGTACTTTCTCCGGTCCTAAAGTCTGACTGTCATCTCCGTTTGGCTAAGCAATTAGCCACGCTGCTAGAGGTGCTGCCAGTAAGGGTCCACGCCGGGTTTCGAACCGTGCCGAAAGGGCTCCAAAACACTTGTCCTAACCTACAGTCCAAACTGACTACTTCAGAGCCCACCCTTCTCCATTAATGTTCCACTGCTTTGTCCTTTTCAAATACATGATAGCATATGATCTCTACAATCCAGTGAGGCAGCAGGCGACTGCAGAACCGAGACCCACAGTGGCTGGGTGTCTTGTCTAGGGGCACGCGGCCTGGAAGGGGCAGAGGCAGGATCAGAACCCAGAGCTTCCGAAGGCCAAGCCCGGAGAGCTCGCCGCCAAACCTGGTTCCGTTGCCCTTGCGTCGCCCGAACCTTTCTTCTCTGCTTTACACTTTCTCTTTCCCGCACGCTGGGTGTGCCTAGCGGGCGCCTGAGCACTACTGGTCACCAGGGGCTGGAGTCTTTTCTGGGAAGAACCCGGCGCGGCAGGAGCGAGCACGGGGCAGTCCCCCCGTGGTGATGTCGCAGAGCTCCGCTCGTTTTTTCCTAGCGGCTGTCACTTCACGGGCTGAATAAAAAGTCTGAAAACTCAACCTGTGCCTCACCCTCCTGTCTCTTCCCCTTGGTGCCTGTCCCCGCACCTGTGCAGTGAACTGCGCTTTCTGTTGTTCGGCCGCCACCAGACGCTGCAACTCCGCTTCGTCCGCCTCACCCAGCTCCGCCATCGTCCGCCTCCAGCTCCGGCCTTCCGACGAGCGTGCGCGCGCACGTGCGGCGGGCGCGCGCCAGCTCCCGACTTCCGGTTCACCCGGCATTTTCCCTCGCCCTGTTTTCTTGAGTCCTTGCGGGGTGGAAGTTGTCGAGTGACTGCTTCCGGTTTGCTGAGTGACCTTGAGGCTTCAGAGGCGAGATGGCGAGTCTTTGGAGGCTGAGTGTCCTGTGCGGTGCGCAAGGAGGCCGAGGTGAGGGGTCCCGGCAGCGGGAGGTTCTTAGCGCAGCCTCCAGCCGCGGAAGGGAGTGCGGCGAGGATTTGTCTGCGGGGTGGTGAGGCCTCTTAAGCAGGGAATCCTTCTTCCGTCCCGTTGGCCGATCTGGCTCCGGTCGGCACCACAGCGGTAACCACCGTTGTCTACGCGCCCAGATGTCCTCCCGAGCGCGTATCTCCCCTGCTTCGGGCTGACACGGGGATGGGGTAATCTGAAAGAGAGCTCCTGGAAGTTAAGTTCTGCTGAGGCTGTTCCTAAGAGTTTTGTTGTTTTTTTTTTTTCCTCCTCCGCTTTCACTGTCCTTAGAATGCGCCCACCCCGCATCGGAAAAGTGTGGGGTTAGGCTCCAAACCCCAATGCCTGGCCTTTCCCATTTACCCTGGAGTTGGTGGAAAGGGGCTTCTGGAAATCAATTCGATAATCATTGCATTGGACATTTGTGTTATACCAGGCACCGTAGTAGGAACGGGATACAAATGTGTATAAAACATAGTTCTTGCCCTCGAAGAGTTTTCATTTTTATAGGGAAAACACATGTAAACATAATTTAACATAAAGTAGAAACTCTTGTGCTGCACATAAATTGTTATGCCAGTCCAGAGGAAGACCATACATAGCTCTGTGTTTTGGAAGAATTACCCTGTCTTGGTTCCTGAAGGAGATGTGTGTGTCTTGAGGATAAGGAAGGCCACAGGGGGAAGGGCATTACAGTTGTAACTACTGGGATGAGCAGAAGTGATGATGAAGGTGTAGAACAGCGAGGTAGGAGAGAAAATAAACTAGATATGATTAGAGCATGAAGCTCAAGGTGAGGAATGAGAGCTGAATCTGGAAAGGTGAACTGGAATCAAATCATGGAAGAACTTGCCTTGATATGGAGTATGCATTTACCTGATGTGAACAGGACCATTGAAAGATTTGACATAGAGTTGCAGTTTAGATTGGCTACTTGGGTAACACTGTGGTAGATGGCCGTCATAGGAGATGGGACAGGCTAAGAAACAAGTCAGGGAGATGAGATAGGATACTGTTGTAGTAGTGCGGGCAAGGATTGTGAGGTCCTGAACTTGGAAAGGGGTACAAAAAAGAGCGGATTGTCTCAAGAAATGTTAAGGAGATACATCAATGGGCGCCTGGGTGGCTCAGTCGTTAAGCGTCTGCCTTCAGCTCAGGTCATGGTCCCAGAGTCCTGGGATCGAGTCCCGCATCAGGCTCCCTGCTCGGCAGGAAGCCTGCTTCTCCCTCTCCCACTCCCCCTGCTTGTGTTCCCTGTCTCGCTGTCTCTCTCTCTGTCAAATACACAAATAAAAATCTTTAATAAAAAAAAAAGGAGATACATCAATATGATTTGGTGATTGACAATTTTGGGGTGTTGGGGGGAGTTTTATATGACTTACAGATTTTTGGGTTAAAGAGTGGGGTGTTATTAAATAAAGTGGGGAACATGCAAATGGGTGACAAGTTTGGTTGAGAAAGTGAGTTGAAGGGTGATTTTAGTTTTTGGCATAGTGAGTTTGAGGATCATGTAGGATATCTTAGGGGAGAGGCCCAGCAAGCACTTAAACTTCGGAAACACTGGAGAGATAGCAGGGCTGCAGATACAGAATTGGGTGTCATAAGCTTACAGGTAGTATAAGCTGAGTGGACAAAATGGCCAAGGGAGGGCTTAGGACATGAGAGCAGTGGCCAGATGATAGAATGCTAGGAAAACATCTAAGAGTGAATGCAGGAGACTGATACAGGATGTCAGAGGATCAAAGGGGGACTAGAAGAGAGTTCATCAGAAAAGAAGAGAGGAAAGGCCCGATCAGATGAAGACTGAACAGTATTTGTTGGATGTGACCACATGGAGACCATTGGCAACTTAATAAAGCAGTTGTAGTCAGGATAAAATAAGTTTCAGAGTTGAAGAATGATAGGGAAGTGAGGAGGTGGAGGTGATTTAGGCAATATTTTAAAGCATAGTTGGAAAGAGAAGAAAGGGAGCAGGGGAGGAGTGCATGGCATTAGAGGATGCAGGGTCAAGGGAGGGGTCACATATATTACATCAGTCAGGGGGAAATGGCCAACAGGAAGGAAGGAGAGGTGAAAGACACGGGAGAGAAATTACCTTTTAATTGAGTACTTACGACATTATGGGAATTATGCTCAGCACCTTGAGTATTTTAATTTTCAGTGGAGTGTTACGAAGTAAGTGCTACTATTTTCACTTTACAGATGAGGACATTGAGGCTTAGAGAATTTATTTAACTTAATTGCTCATCACCTCATAGCTAGTAAGTGGTGGAGTTGTGTGAACTTAGGTCTATTTTTTAACCAAGACACAGGATCCGAAAGGGGACAGAAAAGGATAGGTTCAAAAGTACAAGTGGAGGGGCGCCTGGGTGGCTCAGTCGTTTAAGTGTCTGACTCTTGATTTCGGCTTGGGTCATGATCTCAGAGTTATGAGATTGAACCCCATGTCAGGTTCGTGCTTGGTGTGGAGCCTGCTTAAGATTCTTTCTCTCCTGCTCCCTCTGCTCCCCAACACCCCCAAAAAAGAGTACAAGTGGAGAGGGGCACCTGGATGGCTCAGTCAGTAGAGCATGCGACTCTCGATTCAGGGTTGTGATTTCAAGCCCCACATTCGGTGTAGAGATTACTTAAAAATAAAATCTTAAAAAAAAAAAGGAAGGTGGTAATAGATGTGCTTCCCAAACTAAACTGAACTCCTTGAGGACAAAGGCTGTCTTTTGTCTCTTGCTCCAGTCTAGAGCATACTCTTACCTGTAGTAAATGCTTGTTGGATAATAAATAGATGAATATATGGAAAGAGAAAGGAGCTATAATTTACTTTTTAAAATTAGTAAGAGTGCAGGGGCGCCTGGGTGGCTCAGTCGTTAAGCGTCTGCCTTCGGCTCAGGCCATGATCCCAGGTCCTGGGATCGAGCCCCATATTGGGCTCCCTGCTCAGCGGGAAGCCTGCTTCTCCTTCCCCCGCTCCCCCTGACTGTGTTTCCTCTCTCGCTGTGTCTCTCTCTGTCAAATAAATAAAATCTTAAAAAAAAAAAAATTAGTAAGAGTGCAGCCCTTTTACATAGGTGGTTCATTGATTTTTCGGTCTTTGAGGGGCTACTTTAGTGTGAGCTAATAGCAACCCAGGGAAATAGATACTGTCCTCATTTTGCGGATGAGATGTTATTCCCTATCGGGGCTTATGTAGCTTGCTTATGGTTATTTAGAAAGTCTGTCAGGCCTGTTAAAGGAGAAGTGTTTATGACCCCCCTAATGTCTCTTTCCTCAGCTCTGTTTCTCCGAATCCCGGTGGTCAGACCTGCTCAGGTCTCAGCATTTCTCCAGGACCAGCCTACCCCAGGATGGTGTAGAACACAGCACATTCACCTGTCACCCAACCACTATTGTATGTTTTTTTTTTTTTCATTGCTGCTGCTTTTTGGGCCCTGGCCCTCTTCATCTGGGCAAATTTTCATGCCTTTGACAGGACTTGCTATCTGTGGAACAGAACTCTTATGTCCGACTCTATCAAATGAGGACCTACCTAGCCTGCACCTTTGGGCAGACGATGCCAGCATGGTTGAATGATGCCATTTATGTTCCTAGAGAATCTTCTGATCTAAGTCCACTTCAAATTTCAGGTTTTTTCTGAAAGAAAATAGCTCTTAGGAAGAGTCTGTACAGTATAGTCAGTCTTATTTATTTAGCTGATGGAGAGGAGCCAGATACAAATAATTTAGAGTAGTAGACAGTTTAAAAAGTCATACATATTTATAGCTGTAATTGACTTGCTTATTTTTATTTAGGTCAGTATTAAAATCACGTGGCATTTTTTAGGGTGAATATTATAGAAAATCTGTAGGTGAATAATGAGTTAACTATTTCCAGTTTTAAAGTCTGGAAAGGTCTGTATTTTGCAGAGATAAAGACTTATCTTGACGCTTAAGTCAACAACTTACATATGGTTGCATCTGAGTTATGAGAAATTAGGCAGGTATAGTTTTTCTGCTTTTTAGAATTATTTTATCTTTGAAAAGGTTTTGTTTCTCCATTCCTAAATTTTAAATTTAGCAGAGTGATTTTAATTTGGGGTGTGTGGACTGAAGAAAAGCCCCTGAAGTTGTAAGCATAGTTTTTACTGAGTGTATCCATGTGCATTTTTCTGGAGAGTATCTCCATTAGATTCCCAAAGGGGTCTGTAACCAAAAAAAGATAGAGGCTCCTGAAGAAATGTTTAAAGCCCATTTTGTTTTTCATTTATTTAAAAGAAGTTCTCATGTTCCATATTTGTTTTGGGCTATTTATAAGTAATGGGACAGAAGAAGGACCATAATCCTAAAAGTTCGTATCAGAACTTGTTGAGTTGGCTGGTTTAATTTTGTTTTGGGAGTGTTTTTATTATTACCTTACTTCTAATTCTAAAGATTAGAAGGTGTAAAAAGAGTAATGTTGTAAAGGAATTCCTTAGTTGGTATTAACTTGTATTTATAAGGTATCTGTCTGTTACACTAAAGTTCAAGATTGGTAATTCTGCAAAGGTACTTCGTTCATCTTCTTGCCTGTCGGCAAAGTGGGTCAGTCTTCTAATCTATGTAAGCACCAAGATACATTGTGCTAAAGAACTTCAAAGAGGGAGGTAGCACCTTTCTCAAGTACCTTGTTTATCTTAACTCTCTTTATGCTCAGAGCTAAGTCTTATATGCATGCTATTTGCCATTCTGTCAGCTGGGTTATTTTGTGGCAAATACTGAATATGAGAGATGTGTGTTTCCCCCTTTCAACTCTTACGAATCTGG